GCGAGTGCAGGCAGGCGCGCGGGACCCGGGGAATGGAGGCGGCTCTTAAACTCGATCGCCGGAGGGGCGGCACCGGAGGAGGAGGAGATTCGCTGAGTCACGGTGAGGGGAAAGAAAAGGGGCCCCTCCCAGGAATCAAGACCCGGAGATCGCCTGATGGCAGAGCCTCCAGGGAAGCTTGGGACCCGATTCCCGCACACACCCACGTTCCCCTCCACGACCTCCCTTAAGCCCACTTCGAAGCCGCCCAGGGCCGGAGTGGTGCCCCCCCCTGCTGCCGCGCCCTGCAGGAGAGCTCGGGGGCAGGTTTAAAACTGGACTGGGGTCCCAGCCTGTCCAGAGGGGCTGTTTTGGGTGTGGGGTAGATCAGGCCACAAAAGGGTAGTGAGGCTGTGGGGAGGGGGCAAGAACGATGTGCTATTTGGCTCCTCCCATAGGAATAGCAAAGGACTCCTTGTAGCCCAATCAGCTATCCCTTAAGCACTTCCCCTGATCGTCTGTGGAGGATCAGGGGAAGTGAAAATATATATTTTTTACCTTGGCCCTCCTTCCTCCTGTTCTATTTTCTCCCTTCACCCCCTTCCTGATACCTTTCCCTTCTTCTCCCCCTCCTTTCTCTCTCTACTCTCCCTCAGAATCTGTAGCCAGCCTGGGTAGTTGGAAGCTGAGGCTGCTGGAGGCTATTTCCCCAGCTAAACAGGCTAAACTAGGAGCCTGCCAAGAAGATGCATGCCAGAAAGGTATGGGACAGCTCTCAAAGGGGAAGGATGGCATGATCTAAGTAGAAACACATGCAGATGGGGCATTCCACCCCCCCACCTAAACTGTACCGTCAGTGATCCATACCCCATATCTATATTCCAGTGTAGATGCCCAACTGCCTTGGTACAGTCAGCCCACCTATTTCCTCCCTGCTAGTGGTTGGCCCAATTTTGTCTATCGCCCCACATAAGCTTTTCCCAAGTTCATTCTCACTAGAGATTGCACGGATGGGAATTGAGCCCAGGCCTTCTGTATGCAGAAAGTACTCTGCCATTTGAAGGACTGCGTCTCCTCACATAAATATGTAAATGCCCTGTGTTCCTATACTTTTATTTATTTAATTTATATCCCATTTATGGGATATAAATGAAGTAAATAAAAATCACTGCACTAGGTGCCCTTCTGATGTAAGATGAGAGACCAGGCAGAACCATTGCAAGTTTCACAAGTGCTGAAAAACCAAAATATAAACAAAACACATAAAACACCCCCCCCAAACCCCAATTGCCCTGGATTAGATGATGAGCTGACCGACCATGGGATTTTGCAGGTGTCCAAAGTGTTGAAGCTTTTTTATAAGCGCGCGCACACACAAACACACATCAAGTTCTCCTCCTTCATAATGTTCAGATCACAAGGCTGAGATCTTTCTTTCCCTCTTTGGAGAGAGCCATTGTTTACAGGAAAGGCACGCAGAGGAAAAAGAAAGGAGTCGTCTTGTTTCCAAAAGTGTAGCGGCGGAAAAACGAGAAAAAAAACTAAACAAAACTCCTCAGGGCAGGCGTCTCCTGAGGGACAACGGATGGCAAGGAAGCCTTCACCATGGTGACTGGTATCCAAAACAGGAGCAAGGAGTGATGGGGGGGGGTGTTGTTTCATTGTCCCAAGTGATGCCAGAGCCTTTTAAGTCCAGTTGCAAACAAGGAGAAAAAAACATCTTGCAGTAATTGCCAATCAGCCCCATGGGAAGGGATATCTACATGTCAAACACAGCACCAGCGTTGTTGCAGATGGAATGAAAGTCTAGGTTGCCCAGCCAGCAAGACGCAACCCTGGGTAGTGTGCAGGTTCGAGCCTATACAAGAGCAGAGCTGTCTCCCTTTAGCATCGTGGCCTTCCAAAAGGATGCTGCAAACTGTGTTCGATGGTGTACTGGAATGATGTAGGGCCAACCCCACCCCAAAAATCTGGCTCCTTACTGGCTATCATAGAAACATAAAGGTGGAAGGGGCCTGTAAGGCCATCAAGTCTAACCCCCTGCTCAATGCAGGAAAGCAGATCTGCCAGGTGGTCATCTAAGTTTCTCTTGAATGCTTCTAGCTTTGGAGCACTCACCATTGCTTGAGATCATGGATTCTGCTGTCTTACTGCTCTAACAGGAAGTTTTTCCTGATAATTCAACTGAAATCTGGGTACAACGGCTCACTTTTGCTACCGAAACACTGGCCCTTGGGGCAGGTGGCAGCAAATTCAGAACAGCACAGGGGAACTCCATGGGTCTGTCAAGCTTGCCTTGAAACATGTTGAAGGCCTGGCTCAGAACTGTGTTGTTTTCAGCCTCTTGGTGCCCAGAGGCCAACAGCAGAGTGCCAGGGAGGGGCCCTCAGTTGGCACTTTGAACAGGGTGGGGTACCAAACAAAGGAGGCAGGCAGGCAGGCAAGGCAGGGCAGGGCCCTTTGTTTGCACAGCTAATCTAGCAAAGCCCTCCCCACTGCAGTGGCTTCTGGGCCTAGGATGACTGAGACCTGATTAAAAGCAGCTCTTTTCTTTTGCAGATGTAGACAAAAGAACAGAGCAAGGAGCAGCAGAAAGGAGGTGAAAAGGTAAAACCGCCACCAGAAGGAGGGAAAAGCTTGGCCCCTTCGCCCAGTGTTCCAAAAAGCTGAAGCAGTTCCACATGTTTACTGTAGACGTAGCATTGCAAACATCGGCCCAAGTGTTTGTGGGGCTTCCCAATTTAAATTGCAGCAGCAAGCCTGAGAAAGGCACAGGGCCCTCCTTCTTCTTCCTGTGTTTATGTTTGGAGCAAAAGTCGGAAGGCGGCCGAGGTTTCCTGCTCACAGACAGAACTCAAGAGTTAAGCAGCCCCTTCTCCAGCTCGTTTTTTTTCACTGCATGGCTGCAAGGGGGGGGGGGAAGGGCGGGGGGG